AATTAAACTCACCTAGTGCTGTATCTGCAATAAATTAGCCCCAGAACCTATGTAATTAACCTCTTCACACCGGCCGCACACAAATGTGCAGCCTCCCGGAGTCTGGGCCTATACGCCGAGCTTCCGCACATTTGTGTGCAATTAAGAAAAACATGCTGAGAGCGCACGCCCTGCGTGGTCCCAGCACACATGTTCAGTACTCACGGAAAGGTCCCGATCTCCTCTTTCATGTGACCGCCGTGATGGCAAATCACGGCGGTCGGTCGGTGACCACATGACCCTAAAACCCTGCCCCGCCTCCAGGCTTCTGAAACCCTTAAAGGGCCAGGAGGCGCCTGCGCCAATGGGTTAACATGTGTTTGGTCATAAAGGGATGAGGTGTCAGCCCTAGTTGGATGGGATGGGAAAGCAGTGGGATGGAAACAACAGGGGGTCCGTTTCCATCCAATTGCCCATAGAGAACAGCGGGCTGTGTCTGGTCAGGTCCGTCCCATGTGAAAGGGGCCTTAAAACTGAACACATATTAACAACATAGGTTTTGAGGCTAATTTAAGGGCTCTTTCACATGGACGTTCTGATCAGGTCCGCCTGCTCATTTTTTCAGGCTGACCTGATCAGAACCTCCATTCTCCTCTATGGAGCGGCGAGTGTAAATGGACATGTGTCTGTTTACACCCATAGACATCTGATTCGTCAAAAAGGGATGGATGGGTATCCAATTCCCCTCCCATCCGTCAGATCGGATGAAAACAGACAGGCGGTCCATTTTCATCTGACCGCCCATGTAGGAGAGTGAGCTGCTCTGTGTCTGCTCTGCAGCAATGAAACAAACATAGAGCCATCATCTGCTTACTCAGTGAGGATCAGCGGAGAGATTGCCCGCTGAGTAAAAGAATCCGCTAAACGGGTCCGCTCCATGTGAAAGGACCCTTATGCAGATACAGTATCAAGTGAGTTTAATTACTTTCACACTGATCCGCCGCAAAAACACAGCAAATACGCATAGTGAAAGGACCCTTTTTACTGCATTTTTCAACGCGCCGCAAAAACACTGAGCATAGGCGTTTTTTGTAAAGGATATGTGACTGAGCGTTTTGTAAAAACTGCACCACAAATGCTACTCAGAGGCGCTTTTCAAGCATTTTCCATTGATTTCAATGGGAAAAGGCATTTTTGGGGCATTTTTTTAACTCGCCAAACATGCCCCAAGGATGCTGCAAGCAGGAGTTTTTACACCGCACAGCAGGCGCAACGCTTCAGTGTGAAAACATACATAGATATACATTCACATACAAAGGGAAGCATTTTTCTTGAGCCTTTCAAGCGCTTTTTTAATGCAAAAATGCTTCAAAAACTCAGTGCAAATGCAGGCCATAGACGGGGCGAAAACCGGCCGTTTTTTTATTAAAAAAAATGAAAAATCGGTCGTTCAATCAGCCGACATTACCACCAACGGTAAAAAAAATTGGCTAGATTTCGTCCCGTCTACGGCCAGCATTTAATTACTTCTGTCCCTGCAGAGAGCTCCGCTATTATATTTGACATTAAAAAGTATTGCGGTTGCAACAATGTATCCATTTGTATCCATTTTGGATACAGATGGTTTTATTCGGATACAAATAGATACATTGTTGCAACCGCAATACTTTTCATATAAAATATAATAGTGGACTGGAATTCTTCTTCTTTTTTTTTCTACTTTTTCTTCTTCTTTTTTTTTTCTTCTTCTTCTTTTTCTACTTTCTTTTCTTCTTTTTCTCTTTTTTTCATCTTTCTTCTTTTTCTTCTTCTTGCAGGTCATGGCTCATGTCCCGATTTTCTTTTCGGTAAAACAATCGGCCGATTTGCCCATCTTTGCCGGGAAATCGGCTGATTTTTTTCCGACTTTACCGATAAAACAAATGTTCCAAAACCAAGAAAAACACTGACCAATCAACCCACTAATGGTGCAAAAATCGACCGATTTTTTATTCGGACGAAAAACCGGCCAATTTTTGACCCGTCTATGGCCTGCATTAATGTGAAAGTAGCCTTAATCAGCCACAGAACCTGTGTAATTATTATGTGTTTGGTTGGAAAGGGATGAGGAGGCAACCCTAATGACACCTCACACTTAAATACACACACAAAAAAAAAATTGCTTACAGACACTACTGAAGTGTGAATGGGGGGCTTATTGTGGAATGAGCAGGGTGGAAATGGGGCAGTGATACAGGAAACCTTTGAACTGAAGCACAGCTTTACCACCCTCCAGGCTATTGTGTGGAAGAGGTGTGGGAATCACTAGAGTGGCTGAACAGAATTACAAATGTCTCAGCAGGTAAAGCCATTCATGAAGATGGATTTGTAAGTGTATTTTAGCTGTTTGGCTGGTGTTCTGCTTTACGCGAGTCAAGGCGTGCGGCGGCTTCCGTAAATGAAATATTTTTCGAGTTACAAAAACTCATTTAAGCATGTAACGATAACAGCTGTGTTCTGCTTTTCCCCCAAACAACTTTGCTTCCTACCTTTGATTCTGTTGTATAACTAATTCTTTTTTCCTGCAATATTATATATGTTAACTAGAAGCCCTGATCTTAACGAAGACCAGCAAGCCAGCGTTCCAGACCCCGCACATGAGTCTAATCTTCCAATTATGTCCGTGTTACTTTGAAAACTGGTTTATTTCAACAAGTTCAATTTTATGGCTTCCTTACCAAATTATAGAGTGCCGGGTCCAGCGTGTGTCGGGGGAGTTCTCTTGTAAAACCGTAGCATGCCATAAACAACGCTCATAAATTGCAGTTTTCCTCTTTATTAACATCCTTTTTCCTGATGATAAAACAGTTAAGTTGCCTGTGCCTCTCTGCCCGGGAGGAGTGTGAAAATGAAGATTTAGGGGGTCTGAACAGAAGTCGCAATAGGAAGGTGTCTGCTTGCCTTTTCAACTGCCAGACACACTTTTATGGCGGCTGTAAATATTGTCAGTTTTTTTTTTTTCTCCAGAGAACCCACAGTGATGCACACAGTACAATCATACATGTCTGTCAGGTACAAGTCTTCCCATACCCTGCAAAAAGTGTTTAACAGAAATTTGAAACATGATCATTTTATTATAAATAATACTGTATAAATATGTATTTCAATGACACCAACAATGGGGCATTATTCCTTCCACTGACACCAACAATGGGGCATTATTCCTTCCACTGACACCAACAATGGGGCATTATTCCTTTCACTGACACCAACAATGGGGCATTATTCCTTCCACTGACACCAACAGTAGAGCACTATTTCTTTCAATAACACCAATAATAGAGTACTATTCCTGTTGTGGACAACAACGGGGAACTATTCTTATCATTGACACAAATGATGGCACACTATTCCTCCCACTGATACCAACGATGTGGCACTATTCCTTCCACTGACACCAACAGTAGAGCACTATTTCTTTCACTGACACCAACAATAGGGTACTATTCCTGCCATGGACAACAATGATGGGGCACTATTCCTGCCATGGACAACAATGATGGGGGCACTATTCCTTCCACTGATACCAATGATGGGGCACTATTCCTCCCACTGATACCAATGATGGGGCACTATTCCTCCACTGATACCAATGATGGGGCACTATTCCTCCCACTGATACCAATGATGGGGCACTATTCCTCCCACTGATACCAATGATGGGGCACTATTCCTTCCACTGATACCAATGATGGGGCACTATTCCTTCCACTGACACCAACAGTAGAGCACTATTTCTTTCACTGACACCAACGATAGGACACTATTCCTGCCATGGACAACAATGATGGGGCACTATTCCTTCTACTGACACCAACATTAGGAAACCATTCCTACCATTGACACCAACGATGGGGCACTATTCCTTCCACTGATACCAACGATGGGGCACTATTCCTTCCACTGACACCAACAGTAGAGCACTATTTCTTTCACTGACCACGATAGGACACTATTCCTGCCATGGACAACAATGATGGGGCACTATTCCTTCTACTGACACCAACATTAGGAAACCATTCCTACCATTGACACCAACGATGGGGCACTATTCCTTCCTCTGACATCAACAGTACAGCACTATTTCTTTCACTGACACCAACAATAGGGCACTATTCCTGCCATGGACGCCAATGATGGGGCATTATTCCTCCCACTGACATCAACAGTACAGCACTATTTCTTTTACTGACACCAACAATAGGGCACTATTCCTGCCATGGACACCAATGATGGGGCACTATTCCTGCCATGGACACCAATGATGGGGCACTATTCCTTCTACTGACACCAACGTTAGGGAACTATTCTTATCATTGACACAAATGATGGCAAACTATTCCTCCCACTGATACCAATGATGGGGCACTATTCCGTCCACTGACACCAACAGTACAGTACTATTTATTTTACTGACATCAATGATAGGGCACTATTCCTGCCATGGACGCCAATGATGGGGAACTATTCCTTCTACTGACACCAACATTAGGGAACTATTCCTACCATTGACACAAATGATGGCAAACTATTCCTCCCACTGACACCAACGATGGGGCACTATTCCTTTCACTGACACCAATAGTAGAGCACTATTTCTTTCACTGACACCAACGATAGGACACTATTCCTGCCATGGACAACAATGATGGGGCACTATTCCTTCTATTGACACCAACGTTAGGGAACTATTCCTATAATTGACACAAATTATGGAAAACTATTCCTCCCACTGACACCAACAATGGGGCACTCTAACTCCAACTGACACCAATTGTGGGGAACAACTCCTTCCACTAACACCAATGGTGGGGCACCATTCCTCCCACTGACACCAATGGTGGGGCACTATTCTTCCCACTGACACCAATGGTGGGGCACTATTCCTCCTACTGACACCAAAGATGGGACACTATTTCTCTCTCTGATATCAATGATAGGGCACTATTCCTTTCATTAACACCAACGATGGGGAACCTACCATTGACACATTGACACAAATGATGGTAAACTATTCCTCCCACTGACACCAATGGTGGGGCACAGGGGCGGACTGACAGCTCATGGGGCCCCCGGGAAATATGTGATCATGGGGCCCCTGTGTCCTTGCCCAAACTCAAAAAAGCCTACAAAAAAGGTACCAGGGGCATCTCATAGGGCCCCCTACTGACCCTGGGCCCTCGGGCAGTGCCCGAGTTTTCCAAATGGTCAGTCCGCCCCTGGTGGGGCACTATTCCTCCCACTGACACCAATTGTGAGGAAAAACTCCTTCCACTAATACCAACGATGGGGCTCCATTCCTCCCACTGACACCAATGATGGGGCTCCATTCCTCCCACTGACACCAATGATGGGGCACTATTCTTCCCACTGACACCAATGGTGGGGCACTATTCCTCCTACTGACACCAAAGATGGGATACTATTTCTCTCTCTGATACCAACGATAGGGCACTATTTCTTTCACTGACACCAACGATATCATATTTGTATCTTTTTATTGTAAATAATACTGTATAAATATTTCTATCACTGACACCAACAATGGGGCATTATTCCATCCACTGACACCAACAGTAGAGCACTATTTCTTTAGCTAACACCAGTGCAAGGGCACTATTCCTGCCATGGATACCAATGATGGGGTACTATTCCTGCTATGGACACCAATAATAGGGCACTATTCCTGCCATGGACACCAATGATAGGGCATTATTCCTGCCATGGACACCAATGATAGGGCATTATTCCTGTCATGGACACCAATGATAGGGCATTATTCCTGCCATGGACACCAATGATGGGGCACTATTCCTGCCATGGACACCAATGATAGGGCATTATTCCTGCCATGGACACCAATGATGGGGCATTATTCCTGCCATGGACACCAATGATGGGGCACTATTCCTGCCATGGACACCAATGATGGGGTACTATTCCTTCCATGGATACCAATGATGGGGTACTTTTCCTTCCATGGACACCAATGATGGGGCACTATTCCTGCCATGGACACCAATGATGGGGCACTATTCCTGCTTTGGACACCAATGATGGGGCACTATTCCTGCCATGGACACCAATGATAGGGCACTATTCCTGCCATGGATACCAATGATGGGGTACTATTCCTTCCATTTTGACCATAGCAGGTCACAGCATAGTGTATGCAGTGGTACAAATAACTTGTGGTATGAATATTTGCTATATGAAAATACTGTCATTATTAACAGTGAAGAGTATATATCGTACAACACAAGCATTCAGACAGGCCTGGTACTAAGTGCCCAACGTAAAGAATAAGCCAATCCATTATGTCTGCAGTAGGTCATAGCATAGTGTACAGAGTGGTACAAATAACTTCTAGTATGAATAGTATCTGCTATATGACAATACTGTGATTATTAACAGTGGGGAGTGTATATATCGTACAACACAGCATTCAGACTGGACTAGTGTGGGGTTTGCAAGTTAGTGCCTAACATACAGAAAGAGGCAGTCAGTCTTGTCCGGAGTAGATGATAGAAGAATGAAACGGGTGGTGCAGCCCATAGTGTGTCATTTACAACTTAGGGTACAAATGAGGCAGCCTGGAATATTTCATGTACAGTACAGCATGCACAGTGAGATAGTGGGGCTTTATGTCTGTAGTAAACAGCACACTGAACTCAGTCATGTCAGAGAGCATGTGTAGGGTTACCTCACACTTTTACCTGAGTGAGTTCCTCATTTAACTAAAAAAAATAAAATAATAAATTATATATATACCTAGTCATTCAATGGAGAAACAATGTGTATTATGTAACATACTGCACAATGTACTCAGTTGGGCAGCCTAGAGTAAGTAACGTATGGCATAGTGTACAAGCCGGCGTATGTCACATACAAACACAATGTGTGGCATAGGGCTGTCTGAGGTATGTAACGTACAGCACAATGTTTTGAGTGGAGTGGGACAACTAAAGTATGTTTGCAGCATGAAGCATAGTGCATGAATGATGGCAGTCTGAGGTATGCCTTGTACTGCACAAAATATAGAGCAAAGAAGTTCATAGATGTAGGATGTATATATATATATATATGGCTTTTTTCAAGAACGTGGGGAATGTGGGGAACATCCAGCACTGATAGGGGTGCTAGGGTGTGCTGGATGGTGTGGAAAAACAGAATGGATGGCCGCACAAACAGCAATGTGGTGGATGCAATCCTTTATTGGAATCCTTTACATGCAATATAATAAGAACATGACAGCTCCAAGACAGGACAATGTGCTGGATGGTCTATTGTTGCCAACTGCTGGGGGATCTATTGTCACTGAGGGGATCATTTGTTTCTGGGGAGGTCTATTTTTTCTGGGGGGATCTTATGTTGCCAGGGGGTCAATTATTGCAATGAGAGATCTACTGTTGAGGAAGGGGTCTATTGTTGCTGGCTTTCGGCAGATTTATGGTATTGTTTTATTGCTGCTAGGGAGATCTATTGTTGTTGGGGGATATACAGTATTGTTGCTGGGAGGGATTTGCTATTGTGCAAAGGGTATGTTGATGTTGACTGCTGGGAGATCTACTGTATTGTTATATTGGGGGGTCTTTTGTGTCTGGGGAGGATCTATTGTTGCTGGGAGGGATTTGCTATTGCCAAAAGGGTCTGTTGATGCTGGCTGCTGGGAGATCTACTGTATTGTTATATTGGTGGGTCTGTCGTTGTTGGGGGGATCTATTGTTGCTGGGAGATATTTGTTATTGCGGAAAGTGTCTGTTGATGTTGGCTGCTGGGAAATCTACTGTATTGTTATATTGTGGGGGTCTATTGTTGCTGGGGAGGATATATTGTTGCTGGGGGGATTTGCTATTGTGGAAAGTGTCTGTTGATGCTGGATGCTGGGAGATCTACTGTATTGTTATATTGGTGGGTCTGTCGTTGTTGGGGGAATCTATTGTTGCTGGGAGAGATTTGTTATTGCGGAAAGTGTCTGTTGATGTTGGCTGCTGGGAAATCTACTGTATTGTTATATTGTGGGGGTCTATTGTTGCTGGGGAGGATCTATTGTTGCTGGGAGGGATTTGCTATTGTGGAAAGGGTCTGTTGATGCTGGATGCTGTGAGATCTACTGTATTGTTATATAGCGGGGTCTTTTGTGTCTGGGGAGGATCTATTGTTGCTGGGAGGGATTTGCTATTGTGGAAAGGGTCTGTTGATGTTGGCTGCTGGGAAATCTACTGTGTTGTTATATTGTGGGGGTCTATTGTTGCTGGGGAGGATCTATTGTTGCTGGGAGGGATTTGTTATTGCGGAAAGGGTCTGTTGATGCTGGATGCTGTGAGATCTACTGTATTGTTATATTGGGGGGGTCTATTGTTGCTAGGGAGGGTCTATTGTTGCTGGGAGGGATTTGTTATTGCAGAAAGGGTCTGTTGATGCTGGCTGCTGGAAGATCTTCTGTATTGTTATATTGGGGTCTATTGTTGGGGGGATCTATTGTTGCTGGTAGGGATTTGCTATTGCGGAAAGGGTCTGTTGATGCTGGCTTCTGGGAGATCTACTGTATTGTTATATTGGGGGGTATATTGTTGCTGGGGAGGATCTATTGTTGCTGGGAGGGATTTGCTGTTGCGGAAAGGGTCTGTTGATGCTGGCTGCTGTGAGATCTACGGTATTGTTATTATGGGGGGTCTATTGTTGTTGGGGGGATCTATTGTTGCTGGGAGGGATTTGCTATTGCGGAAAAGGGTCTGTTGATGCTGGCTGCTGGGAGACCTACTGTATTGTTATATTGGGGGGTCTTTTGTTGCTGGGGAGGATCTATTGTTGTTGAGGAGATCTAATGTTCCTGGCTGCACAGAATCATACTTAAAGGTGGGTGAGGACTCGAAAGGGAGGAGTACCTGCACCTATTCTCTGAGAAAAAAGCCATATATATATATATATATATATATATATATATATATACACACACCGTATATGTATTTGTAGATTGGTAGACATGCCTCTCTGTTCAGGCACAGGGTTAATGTCCTGTTTAATGCAGTTTATAGATCTGTTCTATATCACTATCATATTTTATTAATACACCTTGTAAAAAATAGCCCAGATGCCATAGATAATAACATTTATTCCCGTGTCTAAATGAGGAACACATGTCAGTATGATTGTTGGAGTTTTCTGCAGGATTTCATTGTATTGTTTGGCTCCCCCTGAGTCTTTCCGAACAACATGCCTGGGAAAAAAGGCCTCTTTATTCAGTGACTCAGGGGGGTGTGAAATTGGTGGAACTGACAATTACCGAATGTCCTTTGGGGTGCACAGCAAACACTACTGGGCACATTACATGCGTTTTATGCTGGGCCATCCTAAACAAGAAAAAAAAGTTGAACATGTTTTAAATGCAAGGTGAATATTTATGAAATGTTATCTTTTGTTAGAAACAGAGACAAAATAAATAAATAAATAAATATTTGTAAAAGCCAGTAAATATCACAAGGCTGATCTGTGATACGATTGCAGTGGGACGCAGTCTGAGAGTTGTCAAGAATAAAAACCTTGAGAGCAAAGTTGTAAAGTACCAGGGATGTCCATTTACTTTTTTACAAAATTGTTTTAAAGGGACCATTCACCAAATCGGATTAAAGCCCAAATCCAGGAAACCCGCTATGCAAGGGTTAACTGTTAGTTCCTGCCTAGAGGACTGAAAAGTGTTTTTCACATACCTGATCCTCCACTCCCCTGGCAGACAGTGCTTCTGCATGCTTCAGTAGTGGACTTCCTCATAAGGGGCTATGGTCCCTGCCAGGGGCGGACTGACATCTCATAGGGCCCCCGGGCAATAGGGGATCATGGGGCCCCTGTGTCCTTGCCCAAACTCAAAAAAAGCCTACAAAAAAGGTACCAGGGGCATCTCATGGGGCCCCCTACTGACCCCGGGCCCTCGGGCAGTGCCCGATTTTCCAAATGGTCAGTCCGCCCCTGGTCCCTGCATCAGTCTTGATGACATCAGAGGACCTTAGACTTCCAGGGCGAAGAGTATAAGAGCGTGGAGGAGCCTGCAGGTGAGGAGGATCAGGTAAGTAAAAGTGAAAGAGAGGTTGGTTAGGCTTTCTAGGGTTCTGCTTTGATCACTTGAGCTCTGTAAGATTTTACCCCCTTCATGATCAGGCCATTTTTTGCTGTTTGGCACTATGCTACTTTAACTGGTAATTGCACGGTCGTACAATGCTATTCACACAAACAAAGTTTATATAATTTTTTTCACACAAATAGAGCTTTCTTTTGGTGGAAAAAAAACAATATTGTCTACTTTCTGCTATAAAACATATCCAATAATACAATAAAATAATCAAATTTCTTCATAATTTTTTTGGCAAAATGCATTCTGCCACATCTTTGATAAAAAAAATCCCAATAAGTGTATGTTGATTGGTTTGCGTGAAAGTTATAGCGCCTACAAACTACGGTATAGATCAGTGTTCTACAAACTGCAGCCCGTGGGTCGGATGCACCCCTTTGCTTGCTCTTATCTGGCCTTTGAGGCACTATTTCATCCACTGATACCAACAATGAGGCATAATTCACCCAATGACACCAACTAAGGGGTACAATTCCTCCAAATGACACCAACAATGGGGCACAGTTCCTCCCAACGACACCAACTATTGGGCACATTCCTCTCAAAACACCAATGACAGGGCACAGTTCCTCTCACTGACACAAACAATGAGTTGCAATTCTTCCCACTGACACCAAAAATGGGGCACTATCTCTCCCACTGACACCAAAGATGGGGCATTGTCTAGTCTCACTGACATCAGGACATTTTCTACTCCCAATGGCCACAATTCGGCCCCCCTGAAGTCTAAAGGACAGTAAACTGGCCTTTTGTTTAGAAAGTTTGGAGACCCCTGGTATAGATACTGGAATTTTAATTTTTTTTTTATACTAGTAATGGCGGTGATCAGTAACTTTTAGTGGGACTGCGACAGTGCGGCGGACAATTCAACACTAACTGACACTGGGGGTCAACTGACTAACTGCCACTGACATCTCCAGTAACACTAATACAGTGATCAGAGATAGTATTATACACTGTCACTGTACTAACGACACTGGCTGGGAAGGAGTTAACATCTAGGGCAATCAAGGGGTTAAATGTATGCCTAACAATGTTTAGTGTGTGTGTTGTTTTCACTAAGCAATGTTTCGGTTTTTCAGGGAGTAAAAAACTGGCACTATGATTCTGTCTGAAGAGAGCCCTTTGTTGTTTACCAACACAGAGCTCTCTTCTGTCATTTTATCGCTCAGTCCCGGTGATAAATCATAGGCGCTGATCGGCTTCAGAGCCGAGATCGGGAAGAGAGCCAAGATGTACAGGTATGTGATTGTGCTTGTACCAGCTGACCTGTCACAGTAAATGTACTGCAGTGGGATGGCAAGCAGTTAAGAAGGATTTCTGGAGTTCAATCAATGAATCAATCACCAGCCCTTTAAAGTAGAACTCTGGGCACACATTATAATAAAACCCAGACCTACAATGTGCAACATCACCATTTAAAGAACAGTTGCCTCATTTTCCCAATCCACTCCAACCCCTTTTCCCAGCCCCAATATCCTTTAGCTAAAGCTGAATCCTAGAACATCTAGAAGTGTGCTTAAGTGCCCGGTCACACCGGGTGCGACTTGCCATGCGATTTGCCATGCCATGCAAGTTGCAAATCGCATGGCAAGTCGCACCCTATTATCCGCACCGATTTCTAAAGTAGTGTATGCACTACTTTGAGTGCGACTTGCATAGACATCTGTGTCTTGCAAGTCGCACCTGGAGTCGGAATGATATCCAACTTTAAAATGTGTGACTTTCCTAGAAGTCGCACAATTTCAAAGTTGGATCAGTGTTACTGGGGTGTGGAACTAAATTGTGTCTGATCACCAAAAATGAAAATGCTATTTCATTTATTTGTACTAATCAAAGCACACTGACCCCTCCATCCATGTCTTCATGCTTTATCTTGTTCAGTAATCACTTAGACAGACACCCCTTAGTATTTCTAGCCAAGGCCATACTGAGTGAGGGCAGATTATCCATGTAGCATTTACTTCCTGGAATCCATCTGCCCTTAGTTCAGGCATGCAGGCAAGGGGGGGGGGGGGGGGGGTTAGCTGAGAAAGCCCCTCCTCCCTTTCTCCAGATGAAAGAAAAAAATGCTCATGAAGACTCCAGAGATGTATGATATCATTTTAGCCTAGGCCAGAAACCTGCAAGGCAAGAAACAAAACCCTTTAAAACCGTCAATATACAGTTATGGCGAAAAATATTGTCACCCCTGCATTTCTGTCAGATAATGCACCACTTCACCCAGAAAACTGTTGCAATTACAAATCTTTCGGCATTCTCATGTTTATTTCTTTTGTTTGTTTTGGTATAAAAATGGAGAAACAAAAAGCCATATTCACACATTCCACACAAAATCCCCCAAAAATGGACTGGACAAAATTATTGCCTCAATTTAATATTTGGTAGCACACCCCTTGGAAAAAATAACTGAAATCAATGCCTTCCTGTAACCATCAATGAGTTTCTTCCACCTCTCTACAGGAATTTTGGAGCACTCTTCTTTCGCTAACTGGCTAAATGGTGTTAAGGGCACAGGAGACATTGGGTTCTACAAGAAGAAAAGTTTTAAAAAATAAAATGATAATAAAATGTATAACATTTAAAAAAAAAAATTGCCGTAATCCCCTTTGCCGTGCACACAGGCGTACATCCAGGATGCGGACGCATATTTAAACCACCACACGTGTGTGAAGTGTCATTGTGAACTTCAGAGTGGGAGCAATAATTCTAGCACAAGAGCTCCTGGTTAACTCTAAACTGATGAGCTGTAAAGGCTTTTAAAGTGTCACCTGTGGAGATTTTTGGGAACTGTAGTTTTTTACGATATCACAAACACACGCAATTCTGATGATGTCAGTGCTGAGCTGCTCATTATTCTCCTTGCTGGAGAGGAAGCTGTACCTGAGGACCTGCAGAGCAAAGATCGCCCTGCTTCTGCCTCATTCACTCTATGGATTTGTGCTTCCTCCATCTCTCCTGCTGCTTGTTGAATATTCCCCCACCAATCATCAGGGAGGCAGCTCTGACATGAGGAAGTAAAGCCCTACCTCCACCAAGATGGTCTTCTCCATGGAGAGCCACAGGGCAGATAAAGGTATGGTAAGTCAGTAATTGGGAAAAGATCAGCTCCAGGGAAACCACAGGCGGTACTGGTGCCTAGCCCTTTGCCCTCTGCCTGCCTTTTTAGGCACAGTCTACAAAGTACAGGTCCTCATTAGGAAGAAGTTGTACAGCACAGATTCAGAAAGCAGACCCAAGTCAATGTATGGGGCTCTTAGGATTATGGCTACATTGGTTTATTGTATGATCAGATGACAGTAGACCAGCCATTCTCAACCAGGGTTCTGTGAAACCCTAGGGTTCTTCTAGAGGATGCTAGGGTTCTTTGATCCAGGACACCAAATAAAGCTCTCAGAAACAATCTTAACCAACTGGTAGAAGTGTCTCTGCAGAGTCTCTCATATGGAGAAAGTCTACAGTCATCCAAATACCTAAACTGCAAAGCGTCCATTCATTAAAGGTAATTCCATTAAAACAACAATCTTGTGCATTGGAAAGTTTTTCAGCTACAGCTTTTCCTTACTTAGCATATTATTATTATTATACAGTGTTTATATAGCGCCAAAAAGTTTGCTCAGCGCTGTACAATATAGTGGGGGACAGTACATGAGACAATACAGTAACAAAACAATATACGAGGGGTTTGAGGGCCCTGCTCTTTCAAGGTAACAATCTAGGAGCATAGATAACATTCAAAATGTATTGCTTGCCCTTGCATAGCATAGATAACATTCCAAACTTTTTGTGCCTACATGGCCCCACAAATCCGGTGTGCCTGAAGTTTGTGATTACAAGAATACATGGGTGGTTAGAAAGCCAGTGGACCAGAAGCACCAGTGAACCAGAAGGTGTGACACCATGTACAATTGTGAAGGGGGCGTAATCCTCCGCTCAGGATGGTTAACCGCATGCCGCCCAGCCACTGTACATATACGGCGGCAGGGCGGCACTCGCAGGCAAAACCACGTTTTAAAATGTGTGTTTTGTAAACAAATAGGGGGGCGCGCGCGAGGCGTGCCACCGCCCTATTTGTCCCGCGGATCACCGTCGTAGATGTCAGTCGCCGGGTCACAGCCGCTCCTTAGCGGCTATATCCTGGCGATCGGTGGCAAACAGTGACAGAGAGCACAGCTGCAGTAGCTGTGCTGTCTGTCACTTCCCTGTCAGCTCGAGGATGAGCTGATCGAGAAAGAACAGTTTCTCTTTCTCGATCAGCCTTGTCCCGCCCAGTACACACCCCGCCCCCTAGTAAAACACTCCCCTCACTCCTATAACCCTTCCCTGCAAAATAAAGTTAACCCCTTCCTCCCCATTGCCATTAGTACAGTGTCAGTTTTTTTTTTTTTTGCACTGATCACTGTATTAGTGCTTTTGGGGATGTCAGTGACCCCAAGTCAGTACCCCCCAATGTCAGAATGTCCGCCGCAGTCCCGCCATAAGTCGCTGGTCGCTGCCATAAGTCCCTGATCGCCGCCATAATTCGCTGATCACCGCCATTATTAGTATAAAAAAAAACCTAAAAATCCCAGTATCTTTCCCGCCATTTGTAAACGCTATAACTTTCACGTAAACCAATTAATTTACATGTATTGGGTTTTTTTTTTTAGCAAAGACATGTCGCAGAATGCATTTTGGCAGAAATTTATGACTAAATTTGATTTTTGCATTTTTTGTTACTGGACATGTTTTATAGCAAAAAGTCCAAAATATTGTTTTTTTTTCCTCAAAATTGTCAGCCTTTTTTTTTTTATAGCGCAAAAAAATAAAAACCGCACAGGCGATCAAATACCACCGAAAGAAAGC